CCTCATAATTAGCCCTTCGTAAAATGTAAATCTTTTAAATTACCGTAATTATTTTCCTTTATATTGTCTACGTTATTTCAGTATATTTTCTTTTGGTTTTTTACCCGAAACTATAGTAGAATGCCACATGCCACAATATATATATATATATATATATATATATATATATATATATATATATATGTGTGTGGGTGGTGTGTGTGTGTGTGTGTGTGTGTGTGTGTGTGTGTGGTGTGTGTGTGTGTGTGTGTGTGTGTGTGTGTGTGTGTGTGTGTTGTGTGTGTGTGTGGTGTGTGGGTGTGTGTGTGTGGTGTGTGTGTGTGTGTGTGTGTGTGTGAAGTAGCATATGGAAGCGGCAATGCAAGTTAACGCCATTATACGCGCATAATCTAGTGTGAGAATAGCCCTTGTATTTCTCCTGTGCAACATTCACTGATCTCGTACCATATGTTACAGGGGAAACAAAAAGTATCAAGACTGTGTGATATACCATGTGAATACTCTTTGCCCGGATGTTGTATTCGACGTTGACGTGCTAAACAAAATGACGAAACGCATGTTCACCAAGTACAACTGGACTTGCCTGGAGAATGGTAAGGTAGTTGCCGTCAATTTCAGGTGCCCTTACATTTCAAATATTCTTTTATTCCAGCCACCGCGTGTTCTTTGCAACTCATGTCTTCCGTCCTTGACCAATGTTCATCGATAGTTTCCTCGGATATAATCCCTCTGGTGGACGAATCTTCCGAGGAGATGCTGTCTGCTGCGTGCAGGTAAGTGTAAAGTCTTTCACTGTCTTGCTGTGTTATAATTCTAGTAGTTCGTGCAAGAAACATTGCTGTTTTTTTTTCGCAGGGGTGTGCGTCGTTACCAAGAATGTGCGGTTACAGCCGTCCGATCGGTATGCTTCCAAGAGTCCTTAGTGGCAGCGGTGAATCTAGACAACATCACAGAAGGACTTTTTAGCGAATACAACTGGACGTGCGAAGGCCGTAAGGCTTTTTTTTTTTTCATTCGCTTTCATAGTGTGTATTCACTATAAGGTAAAAACGCGTTTTAACGAGATGATTAGTAGCCTAGTGCACTCAACGTTTCGGTGCACCCGGTGTTGTTCATGATACTCCAAGTTTGCAGGGACGTGTTGAAGCAAAAAGTATAGGCGAAGGGTTCGCTTCACTACGCCTGCACGCGTCACCACGCCAACACTCTGACAGCGAGTGCTCTTGCCTGTTTACTGAGGTCACATTTTAGGATTTTAAAATGCCCAGCCTACAATTTCAAGAGGCAAGCTCTAGTGAGAGTCTCCAGTACGAGTTTTCATGTACACAATATATGCACTGAACACACACGTTTTTGCATCACGCCCTCAATAAAACGTTACCAGGATTTGACCCTGCACGCTTGTGCTTAGCTGCGCAAGCAGAAAGGGCGAATCCGAGTATACATGTTTTTCATTTACGAAGGCAACTATGCAATTACTGCTACTACATTTGTACTCCGACGTGAGCTTCTTTATATTGTAAGCAGTACGGACTCATTTAGGTTGCTGTTGTGGCTCCCTGATCAAATGGTGTGTTTCTCATCGACCCTATTGTTGGTCATACAATGAAAGATATTGGCGGCAAATTGACGACGGAAGTACCTGCATAGGTTAGTTCTGTCCATTTAGATTTCAGCGCTTTGTTAATATTGAATCTGCATTGCATTGCATCTTGACCTTCTATTCATTCTGTATAAAAGCGCACAATCAATGCGGTGACGACTGAACGACCACAGATTTTTTTACGTATTCTAAAATATTACGTTTTTTTTTCTTTTAGTGAAGCCTGTGATCGACTTGTCCCCTAAATGTGAGGCAAAATATCTCCATGAAAGAGCGAAGGAGTGCCTCGGTTTTATTAAAGTCAAAGTTCAGCCATTCGCGAAAGATAAAACACTCGTCGCCTTTCTAAAGACAGCCTGCAAGTAAGTCCGTCTTTTGTCTCTGTTAGCGCGTCGCAGTGCGAATATATGCTGTGGGGGTGTCTCTTGGCCAGGAATAACAACTTGTTCAAGCAGTGTGTCAACTCCAAGATACCATCGTCATGCCTGGAATACGACAAAATCATTCAAGCGGGAGAAATTAAACAGTTCGTTAACATGTACGAAGACTACAGATGGACATGCAAGCTGGGAATCACATCAGGTTAGTCCGCTCGGTTGTGAAGGTAGTGAACTCGCGGTTACAGCACTTTTGCCTTTTCTCTCATTCACTTCAGGATCAGCCTGCAATGCGAAAATAGAGAAAAGTCTGGTACAGTGTGCTGGCGTCATCGAAGTTTTAGTTCCAAAAGACGTGTCGGTCTTTCACCCGGCCGTGGATGTTGCGGAGACGTGTCGGTGAGTTCCCATTCACCATCGTTCATCCTTAACGGATTGCGGGAATGAATACATGCCTCGAATGTCATTTTTTTCGCAGGCACTTGAAAAGCTATGAAACATGCTTGATGCAGTCAATTAAGGGTACCTGTGGAGATGGAATTGTCTTAGCACAGAACTCAGAAGTTCTAAAGTATATGATACAGTACTACAACAAATATTCGTGGGCATGTGTGAAGACATCAGAAAACAGTAAGAGTACCTTGGACTATGATTCAATGTGAACTGTGTATCGTAAGGGGCTTTGTTATTTAAGTGAATGCCATTGTTTCTATTTTCCAGTGTGCACTGCAGAAATTCTCACGGATAAGCTTAAAGAATGTAGAGGTTTCATTGACTTCGTTGTCAAACCGAACGCTGCCTTATCATTTTCAATGCAAGATTCATGCCAGTAAGTGAAGGTTTGATTTAATTAGTCTTCTAGGATATTGCCTTTAAGGCAGAGATGACAGGTGTCTGGTTTGTGAAGCACACTGGGCAGCTTTTTATTTAATAATATTTTAATGATTTTCAACTTTGAAATAAACAGTTGGCAGTGTGGTGTTCTGGGTGTTTTTCTTGTTAATGTCTTGGTCGTTTCCCGCAGTTTCAGAACGTCTAACTGCCCTTTTTGAAATGTTTCAGTGTAACTGAACCGAAGCAATTACTTTAATCTATTTTGTGAATCTTTTTAATTATTATTGCAAATGTCATTTGTCCAGAGCTGTTGCGTTTAATTGAGAACACCATAATACATATAAAATGCATTCGCACAATGTGACCCATCACCTCCCTTTTTTTACTCATTCAGAGGTCTTCAGGACTACAAAACGTGTGTGTACACTGGCATCATGGAGTCGTGTGCTTCTAACACGGCGCAAATTGCCAATAGTTCAGCAGTAGACCAGTATCTCTACCAGGTCATGAAGAAACACGCCTCCGTGTGCCGTCCGGTCACACAGCCAGGTATGAACTGTTTCAATACCTCCAGGTCAAACAGGCAGGCTCATTATTTTACGGTGTGCAGTTTCAGAATGTAATGAAGAACTGCTCACGGGAAAACTAAGACGTTGCAAAGGAATCATTACCTGGCTGGTCCTGCCCAACATGGAAAAACCGGACGATGAAGAGCAGCAACAGAGCGCATGCCTGTGAGTAACTCAGTGAACTTTCGTCACTTTGTTGAACCGGGGCTCAAATTCCAAAAATTCGAGACTGAGGAGTTGAAGTGGGTGGGCCAGTTATACGCATGCTATGGTTTTAGGTTGCCTTGAGAACGTGAGGGTTGCGAAAAAAAAAAAACTACTGAGCCTTGATTCAGGAAGCTGCTGCTCATTGAAGATACGAATTCTTGTAAACGTGCTCCTATCATTTTTTTTTTACAATGAACAAAATGAACCCAAAGACGTCGCCCGATTGTCCCCCCAAATGAATTCTTTCGAAGATCTTCTTTTTTAAATCGAACTTTCTCTTTCTCTATAGCTTTCTCAACGGGCCACCGGGGCTGTGTGAAATGTTTTGGCCCTGCACTCGAGGATGATGCGTGAGAATTCGTTTTTGGCGTTAGTTGCAAGAATATCACATATCTTGTTTAATCCCATATTTCGAAACATTGTGAGATAACGACAATGTTTAAAATGTCATATCGTCACTATCCCTTTGTATGTTTATAACATGCTGCAGAAAGCAGTAACTGTTTTGTCTTATTTTCATGTGCCGCTGTCTTGTAAGTCGTGGCAGTAGTTCATGCCGTTCACACCAGAGGTTCTTGTCGTTAAACGCACTTATGCTTTTTTGTTTCTTTCCAGCGCCGTGGCCGATTACCAAGCCTGCGTGGCGAAATCGGCCCGCCAGTTATGCCCTAATACCAACGTCTACAGTGAGGACACTATGGACGATCTCACAGGGGGCCTGTACACAAAGTACAGCTCGACGTGTCGTCACAGTGAGTTCTCTTTTCTTAATTTTCCCCCATCGTCCTCACACATCCCGAAACGTGCTGTCAATAATATGCGCCGCATGTCTGCCAGGGAAAAAAAGCACCACAACGTTAGCACCACGAATTGAACCAACGACTGTGCACCCAAGAAAGCCACCGCACTGCTCCGAAAAATCTGCAACCAGAGCCCTCATGGAATGCATGGGATTCATGCACGTCAAAGTCATGCCAAACGCCCACGCACGGCAAGACCCAGAAAAGCTGAAAGTAGCTTGCACGTGAGCTACCTCCGTTCATCTTGGTTTTGCTTGTCGTTCTTCGCGCATAGGCGAGACTTGCCCGTCGTATCATTCTTGACGTACGTTGATCCGTATTATTTCAGGTCTATGAAACACTACCAGCAGTGCGTCAACGAAAAAGTTCGAATGTGTGCTAATAATAGTGAGGTAACTGAATCTCTGCTCATAAAGTACTACACCAATGAGCTATACCGAAAGTATGAGTGGACATGCGAACCTTCCCTTCCTAAAGGTAATCAATAGTATTTGGCTAAATTTGTTATGCTTTCAAGGCCTAAACTTACATATATATATTTTTTTAAATAGCCGTGTGTAACCCATTTTTGGTTCTTGGGCCTCTGGAAAACTGCTCCAAGCCACTCAACATGGCGGTCCATGGTTTAAATCCCGAGGAAGTCAATACGTGGAAGACCGAAGCAGCCTGCGGGTAAGATCATTCTTTATATTACGGGACATGTGAATGAAATTTTAGTAGATCAGAGGTGATGTTAAAGAGACTTTAATTATTCAGTATGCGTTATATATTGCAGCTGTGCACAGTCTCTATTTGAGCTTGAGATCGTTCAAGTTCACAGAAGGATGTATATGTTCTACATTACAACCTGTACTCGTTAATTTCTTTTTTGTTACGTTTTATGAGTTTAATTGACAAGGTTTTCAAAGCTTTCCTTGCCACTTTAGCGAAGTCAGGCGTAAAAAAACACGTGGTTTTCTTAAACAGGCCTTGAATCACTTCTTGAAAATATTCATATTTCATTTTGTAGAGTCCAACTGCCGGAACTAAGATATGATAGAGCACGCAGTAGAAGGGCGGGACGTGAATCTTTTATGGTTCCTAAAATAAACTGTTACTAAATTGCATGAAGTGGGCAAATTGCATTGCACTGAAAACAGTACGAAGGTCACTTGCTCTCTGCTATGCGTTATCGTCGGCTGCTAGGTTGTAAGCACGGCAAGACCTGTCGGTATTTGCTAAATTCGTAATCATATAATATTCTCAGTAGTACTATTCATCGGCAGCATTGAACGGACGAATGCAAAGAATAAATGAAATTGCCCCAGCAGGAATTAAACCCTGGGATTTTGCACGAGCATTTTACCACAGAACCATGCCAAGTCTCGGAAATACCTTTCAAATAGACCCTAATGCTCGTGAAACCCTAATTGTGATTTCAGTGCTGGCTATCCAATTTTGTGTGCATTGCATATGTGCACCTACGATACAGTTGTCACGTCGGGTTAATATTAATTGTAGTCAGTGTTTATGTTGCAGTGTTCAGAACTTCGATCCTCGCGAGCAGCATGCAGCGCTTTAAATCAGCTTACCGTTTCTGATGATGCTAATATCCATGTTGCTGTTGGCATCGTTACGCAAATGTAAACAACTGGCGATATAAAACATATGCGGCTGTTTAACGTATGCCTGTGCGTGCATTTGTGCATATGTTAAGCGGAACATTGTAACGTTTGGCTCAATAAAAAATACATCACGGTCACCTTCCATCCGCATGCTGCGCATAACATCGATTCCCAAGGTACGTGGGATGTACCGAATTTTCTGGTGGAGTTTCTAAACGCTGTCTAGCTGCAATAGGACAAAGCCAATTTGACCCCTGTGCTCGTGTAGCTCGGCCAAAAAACTCACAGAGGTGAGCTAGTACTCCATCCCTTTTTGTACAAATAACAAAATTTACGCTGTACATATGCGCAGCCTGTATTGCACGGCTGTAAATGATGCTTCTGTGATTTATCTTGTCAGCGAGGTGCTGTGGAAACAGCGTGCTCAATTTGAGACATTCCCGGGGTGCACAGTAGTGCGAGGTAGCCATAGTGCAAATGTTGCTTCTAGAGAGTTGCTGTAACGGAAGGAGCTCCATGTTAAAAAATAAAAAAATAAAAAAGCACATATGTACGTGGCCGTGACGATCGCGGCGAAATCGTTCGCATCTCGATGGCGGCAACATGCTAGAGGCTCGTGCATGTTCAATGACAGTGGTAATTGAAGAACTCCAGTCGGTCGTACTTTTCGGAAACCCATCACAACGGTGTGCCTAAATAACGATGTGGTTTTGGCGTGTAAAACACCAGGAATTATTAAAACCGCCTTGTCCGGCAGTATACTGATTGCGTTTGCTCGAGACGAGCACTACAACCACACTGCAGTTGGGACGGCGCTCCAGCAGTGCTGCAAGCGGACAAAAAAAAAGAAAAGAACAAAATGTTCATGCACCCATTTGTTTGTGTCAGTTTCAGTTTACTCAAGTTATCGTTGCCATAAAGCGCTATTACGTAGTTTTCATTTTCGTATTATTGTAACTGCCTTTCTTATATGAAGTTTGACCAAATTTAATCAGAGCGTTGCTTGCTTTGATTTTATTTTTTTTCTCCCATAAATATTCTCGAAATTTTCAGTTTCATAGACACGATAAATAGTCCTCCACCTGTGTCTCTGTTTTTTTTTTCTACGCAACTTCAAAGTCAGGAAAAAATTCAGTGGAGTTATCACGTTATCAATGATCAGTTAAAAGCACATACTGTTGTGGAGAATAATGATTTATAACTAACCAAAATTTACGTTAATAAATCAAGCCTACTTGATCTACTAGCGACCACTGCTCGACAAAGCTCTCTTTTGTAAGCGGAGTGTGGGCAGCAGCGGCCTGCCCTTTGTTGCTTGACTGCAAAAACTTCCCTTATAGCAAGCTCTCTTGGAGCCTCCTTCATAATGAACTGGGGCTTTCACTATTAGTTTCACAAACTACACAAGACAGAGTTCCCAGTGTGTTCAAAACTGTCCCGCTCTATGCGGTCTTAGTCTTCTCGCATGGATATACAACGTGAAGGTCCACACGAGAGAGGCATGCACAAAACACACGGTGAAGATTCAAAACCGAGTGAAGGCTGCCATTCCTCCTCTCGTATTTTGCCCTGCATCAATATTCTCCGCTCAATAGCCGGACCTTTGCTGCTGTGCATGACACTCGTGGGCTTGCTGGCCGCAGCTTTGCCCGCCTCGGCTTCCTTCGTTTAGTAATCTCGCATTCTGAGTGGCTTGCAACAAAGGACGATTTCCTCTCGGTGATAAAAATCAGTGTTGGACCGATCGACGCCACGTGGGCTTACTTGAATTATCAGATTTTTCGGGGCCAGCACTCGAAAATGAAGACGCCCATTCAAGGCGTCTTCCTGTCCGCCAACAATGAACGTCATCGATCTCGCGTGCCTTTCCTTGCTTTAACGCCGCGCGCCCGGTTATTTCAGGCCACAAACGGCTTGCGCGCTATCAGCGTGGCATATATATAGAAGCGCCAACTTATCAAGAGGCAACACAACGCATGGCAGATGTTGTTTTGAGATAAGGTCTCCCCAAAGGCTGCAAGCTGTTTCTAAAGTGAGGAGATTAGTGGCGTAACATTTTAATTGAGATATCATCCTATGATTTCTTGGGAAAGCTTTTTAGGGCACCTGAAACCGGTCGTTACAGTGAAGCCAAACACCAAACAGATTTATTTCGACTTCAAATTTAAATCTCAGGGGGCCCGCTGTCCTAAACAAAACTGACAGCGGAACGCGAGCCTATAATAAACCCATTGAAGCACCAATTTTACAATTTTCTTGTTGCATTGTCATAAGCGCACACAACCCGGATGACGTGTTGTCCACTCAGCATATGAGGGCACACAGAGCGCCATTTTAGTGTGACCGAGCGTGGCTTACTCACGTAAAGTTATTGTTGTCAACAGGGCTATATCTGCATACCAGGACTGCGTGAATTCAAAGCTGAGCTTGAAGTGTGGCCCCAAAGTATTGCCTCAGACGCCACATGTGCTGCACTACGTTCGAGACTTGTACAACCAATACAACTGGACATGCCGAGCAGGTCAGGCTGGTAAGTTTCCGGCTGGTAAGTCAGATGACCGGTAATATCGATTAGTTTAGACCTTGCTGCGTATAAAACAGATATCAGTACAGATATTTTACGTCGATTAAAAGACTAATTCTTCTGTGAATAAAATAGATTAGGGCATATTGGCCTTGTAGGCAAAATAAGAAAATTAGTCGAGGGAGGAGTAAAAGCTACGCATGCGCGTAATGGCATGTATTGGTGGGTTGTTATAGGGAAATAAAAGCGAACGCAAAACTAAATATTGTCAGTTGCCTCGTTTAAACTTTCAAATCACACAGATACCATCAGTAACAAAGATTTTGACTGGGCTAGATGGTGAAGGTGCCTAATAGCTTGCAGCGCACTCTGAGACACAGATGAAGAACAGACGCACGAATATAAGCACCGATGTTTCGTGTTTCCCTTCTTGTCCGTGTCTCTGAGTGCACTGTAAGCTATTATGTACCATATTATGACGGCCGATGTCATGTTTTACACGGAAAAGTACTCCATCACTTCGGAAGAATAACTAGCTGCGTCTGCAATGAACCTTCATAGTGACAATGCTCCGGGCAGCTCATCACTTGAAGTCAGAGGAAATTTTTTCCAGCGAAGTGCGATAGATTTTACCCTGCACCCCACACAAATAAGTTCTGTTTCTTCTCCTGGACGAAACGTGGCTTGACAGGGCATCGATTCGTGGCCATGATAACAGTCGAGGCAGCGGTGACTCTTCTTCTCATTGATATTTTGATTTCGCTTGAAAGGCGGCGTTCTAACCTCAGAAAAAAAAACGATGAAAATTGTGAAATTGTGACAAACTAGCTTCTTATGAAGAGTTCTAAGTTCTTATTGTGATCAAAGATTCTTCGCAAATGTGCTTACACTTTCCGCTCATGTCGTTTATATACGGTATTCGTACGATCTATAACCTTCATAGTGCACTATATGCTGCAGTTGACCATGTTGACCTTCCTTTTTTCTTCAGATAACTGCGACGGCAACGAGGTGATAGACTCCTTGACTGAGTGCCTCGGTTTTTTGAATGTGTTGGTCCTTCCGTACATAACGAACTCAAGCAAGAATGCGTCACTTGAAACGGCGTGCACGTATGTTTGCCCCAGTCTTTCTTATGCTACCCGTAGCTCGGACAGTTCACAGTGCCTCGGACGTGCGTTTGAACACTCAATTTGTCGCTTTCAGGGGATACCAGGAATTCAAGTACTGCATATCGTCATCCATCAACGCAAAATGCCCACGCAGCCCGTACGTTCTGCGGCTGCCTCGGGTGCAGTACTTCACTCATGACCTAGTGCAAAACTACAAGTGGACGTGTGAGGCGGTTCATCAAAAAAGTAAGCTCATCATGTGACGACGTTAAACACTGCGCATGAATTATCCCAGCAAAACGTGGCCACCGATCTATTGAAGTGTCAAGGGTCACAAATGTACTTCGTCACACCACTGTCAATACAAAAGCAGCGAAGTTGGCGTTGGAGGTCGTACACGTAATTTCTGTATTTCAGAACCTTGTTCTGTCGGAGTGCATGGTTGCGCACATGAAAACGGGCCGGATATTCTGTGGATCATAACTATAAGCGTTGGTTTCAAAGTCCCAAACCCCGTTCCTGCTTTTATTAATTTACGCTTTATCTAGAGGCACCCTAAACAGGCTGGACATTGAGTGGACCATAACTAAAAGCGTTGCTCTCAAAGTTCCAAACCACGCTTTGTCTAGAGGCATCCTTAACATCGCAATTATTTATGTGAATATAATAAACGTAATAGATGTAATAGATAGACGTAACATATGCAATATGTAACAATAGATTTTGGAGTAACCTACGGTGTGGTGGTCTAGTGGCTAAGGTACTCGCCTGCTGAACTGCAGGTAGCGGGATCGAATCCCGGATGCGGTGTCTGCGTTTCTCAGATGGAGGCGAAAACGCTTTATACCCGTGTGCTCAGATTTAAGCGCATGTTAAAGAACCCCAGGTGATCAAAGTTTCCGGAGTCCTCCACTACGGCTCTCTCATAATATGTTGGTTTTGGGACGTTAAACCTCACATATCAATCAATCACCCATGTCACCCAGCAAAAATCTACTTCGTCCTATGCATAGCTGTCAGAGGCGAATAGAATTTGCGCGAGAAATCATGATGAATACTATAATAAGAAAGCAAACCTAATTAACTTTACCATAACAACTCCTGCTGATTTAGAATGGAGTCAGGCTATGACACGCCCACTTACACACACTCACTGACTGACTGACTCACTCACTCACTCACACTTACTTAACGTATATGGACGGAACGACATCCCACACAACATATATGAGATTTTGAATTCGCTCATACCTTTGGAGAAAAAAATAGAAAAGCATACCAGAAATGCAAGCCACCCCCAAGAAAGAAACATGGTAGTATCAACAACAAAAGGGATATTATTATCAATAGGTATAATGCTCGTGTTATCTGCCCATGATTATTTCCTGTATATGGTTAGGACATATTCTTTAATGTTAAACTGCGATTGGTACGGGACACCAGAGAATATGCAGACACGACGAAGGCAAAATAGCAACTGATTTATTGAAATGGCACAAATCAATTGCTATAGTCTGCGTTCGTCCTGTCTGCATCTACCCTTAACTTGGAATAATACTGTCTCTCTCTCTCTCTCACACACACACACACACACACACACACACACACACACACACACACACACACACGCACACGCACACCACACACACGCACACACACACACACACACACACGCACACACACACACACACACACACACATACATACATACATACATATATATATATATATATATATATATATATATATATATATATATATATATATATATATATATATATATATATATATATAATACGAAAAGAACACGAAAGCCATTCGCTACCACCATGTGGGCACATGCACAGCCCCTAACCTTCATCCCGCCGAGGCACACCCATCCCGCGCGCACAGTGGTCTGTTGTCGACTCTTCAGGCCGTGCCATGGCTGCTGCTTTTAAAGCCCGTGAGTGGTACATGCGCATCCCTGGTGCACAGCACGTCTCATGCCAGCCGCTCGATGGGCGTAATTCCCACAATAGATACATTGCAATGCTCAAGCTGGGGACAGCGATGTGTATATACCACCAAATATAACTGATTGCACCTGTGCATTTATTATTCGCGTGCCCCCAGATTCTTTTAGTGACGTGCCCAGTCTGGTAAAAGTATTTTTTTAGCCTCGACAAAACATGATTTATTGGACGCTTACGTCTACAATGAAAGAGCACACACAGGACACCGGCATCGCATCTGTGTTTACTCTTTGTTCTGTCGGTATAAGCACTATGTTTCATCAAGCCAGCAACCAACTAATTAATCTTCGTATCTTAACTACTTTGTTAGTCCCGCTACATTATAGTCTCACTACATTCTTAGTCTCGCTGTGTAGAAAGTATTGTTTGTGCCTTGTTAGGCAAACCTCCTTGTTGACGTTGTGATAGCTGGTCTTGCTCAAAGGATTTTACGTTTGGCACTGAGAGGAAAGTTACGATGCCGAGGTTGGTAAAGTTATTTGTTAAACAGTACAGCAATCTCCTGCAACAAGCTTACCGCCGGAGATACTCCACATGACCGCTCTTTTTGTGGCTTTAGGGGGCACACGTTTCCTCAGAACCTCGCAATGCATCCGATGGAGTGCGCCGACGGACGAGTTGGAGAATGGGCGAATGTAGAGAAGGGCGAATTGTGATGTGTTTTTCTTACTGGATGTGAGGCAGCCAATAAGAGGTTGAAAACAGATTGCAGCACCGGGAAGCAAGGTTGCCAAACAAAACATCAGAAATGGGCGTTTTATACACTGAGACGAGCGTTTATGCGCCTGTGTGGTCCGGCAGCAAATAGTATGCTACAGTCACAAGTCTGAATGCTGAGTGAAAAACATAACGTGGGAGTTGGCGAATTACTCATGAAATGGCGCCACAGAAAAGCTATGTGTGGCTGAGTATAAACACAATAATGTAAGTGTGCTGACCGCCCATCAATTAGGGAGGATGCTTAGAACATCTTAAGAATGTAAAGGCGAAAGCCTACTTGGACCGTCTTTTAATCTGCTGTTGAGCTTTCTGCAGACTGGTAACACTTAGTGCTCGTGCATGCGCAGTGGAATCTTTTGGAGGTGTCTCTGTCGAGCTTTGTATTCTGAGCCCGTACTGCGCTGTTGAAAGATCACCGAGCGCCGATGCTAAGAAGGATCTTACTCATACCAATTCACTTTCAAAGCACGTATAGAAAATTGAGCCTCCCGTTGAGTAGAAAAAAGGGTTTATTTGAATTAAACCACAGCCCGACTCACTGGGTTCCTGCTGTAGCACGTCATTCCAAGACCAGAATAGATCATCATCTTTTTCATCTATTGTTTTCCAACAAACTGCCCCGCGCACAAAATTTCGTAAAAAGTTTAATTGAAGTGTGTACAGAAAGTCGAATTCAGAGTAGCTGTACGCGGTAGTCTGGAGAACTCCACTACTCAAAGAATCCGTAGTTTCCGGGGCTTGGTCAACCAGTGTAAACGGGGCGTGAACTTTTCACTTTACGTTGTTCTGATTACCGAAAGGCATCCGTTGAATTGATGTTTCCACGAAGGCATGCTACGCCAGCTTTCATTTCTTTTGCATTGAACGCTCCCTTAAACGCACTCTTCGGCTTGCGCTTGGAGGCGTGTTGTAGTAGCCAAGCTGTAACGCTGATGGTAAAGTTGTGTGGACATTCAAAGTATTCGGGAGCAAGCTATTTGTGCCCTGCCTACTGGACAAGGAAGGACTCATGACAGCACACTTCTCTTGTCAAACCACAGGTTCTGCTTGCAGGGCTCACCTTCACTGTGAAAAAAATTCGACATGCCAAAAGTGTCGTTTAGGCCTGAGGTCGCTTGTGTCATGAAAGTTTGTTTCTGTTTATTTGCGGTTCTTTGTTTCACGAATTCCGCTGCATTTCTCCGACTTGAAGACAATACGTCAGTGTCGCGATGCCATATCATTGTGAAGGCTTTCAGTACTTGTTTCCGTTTTTCAAGATGCAACTCCGAAGGTTGCATAGACTGCATGCCGATAACGCGTGAATGGTTCGAAAGCAACTTCTCCATCTTCATGGAAGCACATGGTGTCTCGCAGCTTGGATGCGTCTTCGACTGAAATCGCTTCTGGGTGCTCGTTGTGGGTCCTTTTATGTCTCTTGCATTTTATTCTGATGACTTCTATGTTACTGTAGTTGTCTGTTGTGACCTTATGGTTGGACGCTGACGCTTCTAATAGAATGACCTTGTTGTAATGTGTGGCGTTAGCACAATAGGTTGCTGAGCTATGTAGCGTCCATCATAAGTTGGTCTCAATGCCTTTGAGTTGTTGTCCAAATTCTGCGTATTTAATGTGACAAGTGACCAGTAATAGTCACTGCCGATCAAGACATTGATCGCGTTGGGGCTTCCAGCCTGATCAACACCAGATAAGTAATAACCTTGTCATTAAAGCTTATCGATGAAGTCTTGATGCGGTCGTGGAACAGACATGCGACAGATGTTTGTCGTCACGAGAGCTTCGATCTATAGTGGCGTCTTACTACACTGAGAAGCTAAAGTAACGAGCACACGTTGGAAAGTCTTTTCATCATGTTGCCCTCCGAAATATCCCACTGTAAGCTTCTCGTTATCCAGTACGTGACAATTTAAATTTTGAGCCAATTTCTCGGTGATTAAACTGCGCTGGCTGCCTCCATCGAATGTAACTGGAACAAGGCATTTATTTCCTTGTCCGGTAGCCCAAGCTGTAGCTTTCTGAAGGAACACACACCGTTTAGAGTCGCCAGTTTCAATCATTTTCAGCTGCATTTGCACTGTTAATGTTTGTGGACTGTTAATAGATTGCAGCCACCGGAGGTCACACATTGTTTTGGCATGACGTGGATTGCACTTTGTAAATGTAACGTTTATTCTGCAATTTTTCGCCGAACAATGCTGCAATGTATAGCGGAAACAACAATCTGCACTGATTAGTCGTTTTTTTTTCCGCGAGAGGAATCTGACAGTCGCACTTCTCTGTGTTGTGGGGTTCAGTAACACCGAAAGTTGGGCGAGTTGGTGATTGTTCATGATTACAAATAAGCAGCGCACGACGTTTTACACAAAGAGAGACGATAGGGACACCGCTGCACTCTCAACTAGTTTATTTCGTAAACGACCTTGGTTATTATACAACAAGACGGTGTACCACGTGCTACAATGACAACGTATTTTCTAAAAAGCCAACTTCGCAATCGCTCAAAGTAATCGA